GAGGATTTCTATCCAAAAGATTTCCAGCAGAAGATGCTGCTGTTACACTGAGTTTTTATTTTATATTGTGGTAATTTTGCTGATCAAACAGCAAAGTTTAAGACAACTCAGTGACAGCATGAACAAAAACCTCCAAATTAAAAATTTTTAACAAGGAGCATTTGGCTGCTGTGTACAGAACAGAATAAAAAAGATTTTTAATATTCTGTAACTCAAGGATTTGGCTCCTCTTCAAACCTTGCCAGCTCCACAGGAATGGGTAATTTGGCAAAACTTGGAAAATTGTTTCTGCAGGTAAATTCAGACCAGGGAGAGGGGCTTGAAGCACAGTGAGGATTCCTGCTGGGATTTGGGATGCAGCTTCCTCAGCTCCCCAGGCTCTGCTTTCAGCCTTCTCTTAAATGGAATTCTTAAAACAGCACAGGAAAAACGCTGCTGCTTTTCTAGTGTAGCACTTAAAATCTGTTTTATAAAGTAAAACTCGATTTTAGGAAGTCACACTGTGAAAAACTCAGAGCTTGTATTTGATACTTCAGCACTTGGCAGAATTCCTGAGTTAATCCAGATTATCCCAAAGGGAATTTAGGGAAATAAAAAAAATCCTTGCTGGGTGTTGTTGCTGTGGTGCTGATGGAGCTGCAGGTTTGGGTGGCCGAGTTTTGTTTGTCCTGCCTTATAAAAACCAGCTCAGCAATTTGGGGGTGTTGGGAGAAAATGAAAAAAAAAATCTTCTTTTCCTGGAGCTCTCCTGCATTTTCACAGCTCGGGGTCAGCGTGGTGGGATTGGTCCAAGTGGCATTTTTATTTTTTTATACACCAGCATGTGTTTATTTATTTATACAGAAATCCATTCCTATATTTTTATAGATTTTATATGTTCTGGGAGTTTATCTGGAGAGGATGTTTGGCTTTTAGGGAATGCTTCTCTCTCAACCCCAAGTTTCTCTGTGCACAAGATGGGGCATTGATGATTTTTGTTTGGTCCTTTAAAGCCTGAATTTTGACAAAACTTATCCGAGTGAGCACTCCAGGGTGAAATATTCCAGGAATTCCCACTGATTTTTTCCCCAGTTCTCAGAGTGACCATTCCAGAGTGATCAGTGTGAAATGTGCCAGGAATTCCCACTGATTATTAAATATTCCAGGAATTCCCACTGATCCCAAAATATTCCAGGAATTCCCACTGATTATGAAATATTCCAGGAATTCCCACTGATCCCAAAATATTCCAGGAATTCCCACTGATTTTCCCCTGGTTCTCAGAGTCACCATTCCAGTGTGAATTGTACCAGGAATTCCCACTGATCACAAAATATTCCAGGAATTCCCACTGATTTCTCCCACTTTACAGAATGACCATTCCAATGTGAAATGTGCCAAGAATTCCCACTCATTGTGAAATATTCCAGGAATTCCCACTGATTTCTCCCACTTTGCAGAGTGACCATTCCAGTGTGAAATGCGCCAGGAATTCGCACTGATTTTTCCCCAGTTCTCCAGAGAGTGATCAATGTGAAATGTGCCAGGAATTCCCATTCTAGTGTGAAATATTCCAGGAATTCCCACTGATTGTGAATTGTGCCAGGAATTCCCACTGATTTCTACCACTTTGCAGAGTGACCATTCCAGTGTGAAATGCGCCAGGAATTCCCACTGATCACGAATTATTCCAGGAATTCCCACTGATTTCTCCCACTTTACAGAATGACCATTCCAGTGTGAAATGCGCCAGGAATTCGCACTGATTTTTCCCCAGTTCTCCGAGTGACCACTCCAGAGAGTGATCAATGCGAAATGTGCCAGGAATTCCCCCTCATTGTGAAATACTCCAGGAACTCCCCCCGATCACGAATTATTCCAGAAATCCCCCCCTCTCACAAAACACTCCAGAACTCTCCCCCCACCCACCCTGACTCCCCTTTTATTTTTTTTTTTGTTTTGTTTTTCCCTCTCCAGGCTCTCTCACCGAATGTTACGACGAGCTCGGCAACCGCTACCAGCTGCCCGTGTACTGCCTGGCTCCCCCCATCAACATGATCGAGGAGAAGGGAGACCTGGAGAGCCTGGATATCCCGGATCCCCCTCCCAACTGCGGCCACGAGTGCCAGCTCCGCCTGCGCCTGTCCACGGGCAGGGACCTGAAGCTGCAGGTGCGCAGCATGGACACCGTGTACCACATGAAACGGAGGCTGCACGCCGTGGAGGGAGTGGAGCCGGCCAGCCAACGTTGGTTCTTCTCTGGGAGACCTTTGGCAGATAAAATGAAACTGGAGGAGTTGAAAATCCCTAAGGATTACGTGGTGCAAGTCATCGTGAGCCAGCCTTTAGCAAATCCCACCCCGGTGGAAAATT